CCCCAAAACCCCAAAACCCCAAAACCCCTAAAGAAGCAATCTGAGTATCAATAACTTGATAAAAAGAATATTTCAATTAATTTAATCAAAATGATAGCCAATAAGCTAAATTAAGCCATTATGGGACAGTCTTATTCAAATAACGTGAGCCCATGTAATAAATAAACATCTGATTCTAAAATTTAATTCGAGCCTTCATTAACTCAAGTGAAATCTAAAAAAATTGTACCCTCCATTATTAAATATGACTTAAATGAGAATGTTAACCTTATTTAAAAATAGGAGGAGTAAAAGGATCAAGTTCTCAGTAAAGAAGAGCAAAAGCAGCGTTGAAAATTATTGAAGTACAAAAAAGATGTAAAGGTGCGACGAGAATGGGGTCTTCAATCAGGTGAATTGTTGATTATCAACTACGAGTACATCCCCGAGCCAGTCTAGATTCAAACAGAATCGCATTTAATGTTCGAAAGCAAGGACTCTTCTAAAGGGGATATTATGCGAAGGTGCAGTGATACATCCAGCACTAGCGAAAGTGAGGTAAACTCGTAGGATGATAAGTCTACTGGGTATGAGAAAATCATGCGTAAACTAGAAAAAAAGAAGGGGAAAATCTCTAAGGAGGATTTCAGCATTATTTCATTAATAGGAACAGGCTCTTATGGGAAGGTATTCCTGGTAAGGAAGATTGAAAGCGGCAAGATCTACGCAATGAAGGTTCTAACTAAAAGCTTCGTGCGAAAATACAAGCAAGTCAAGCATACTTGGACTGAGAGGAAGGTGCTTGAAAAGGTTGTTCATCCTTTCATTGTTAAATTGAAGTATGCTTTCTAAAGTCCAAAGAAACTTTTCTTAGTGATGGAGTACTGCCCCGGTGGAGAACTATTTTTCTACCTGTCAAAGATGGGTCGCTTCAAGGAACGATCTGCCCAGTTCTATTCAGGAAATATTCTACTAGCTTTAGAATTTTTGCATAAGAAAGGTGTGATATATAGGGATTTAAAACCAGAGAATGTATTAATAGCTTCAGATGGTTATGCAAAAATTACAGATTTTGGCCTTTCAAAAGATGATATGCTAGCTGGCAAATAAACTCTGAGTATTTGTGGAACAACTGAATACCTAGCACCTGAGATGCTGCTTGGCAAAGGCTATGATACGTCTTGCGATTGGTGGGGATTCGGTTGTCTAATATATGAGATGCTGGTAGGTCTACCTCCGTTTTACTGCAAAAACTAAGAGGAATTGTTTTACTCTATATTACATAAAGAACCCGATTACCCAGAATTTCTAAGTGCAGAGTCAGTTAGTTTAATTTCTCAACTTCTGAATAAAAACCCAAGTAAAAGAATGAAAAACTCTAAGCAGATCAAAGGTCATGCCTTCTTTAAAGACATCGACTGGAAAAAGATGAAGGAAAAGAAGATAAAGCCCCCCTACAAGCCAGCTTTAAAGAGTGAAGACGATATAACACATTTTGATACCTAACATGGCGTAGAACTCCTAATTAATTAGTAAAACATGTTAAATGAGACTATTGATAACATCTAATCCACAGTTGATAATGTAAATGATTTTGAAGGGTTTACGTATGATGGAAATAGCCTACTGATTGGGAGTGGAATGGAACTTGACTCAAACCTATGAGTTCACTGCGAGTGGGGAATCAATAACAAACAACTCATCATCTGAATTGAATTATTCCAAGAAAAAATAATAATCATAATAATAACTAAGCATTTATCAAATTAATTGTTAAGATAAGGAATCATCCGAACTGTCTTTTCTTATATAAATAAATTTATCCATTAACAGTTAAAATAAATTAGACATTAAAATTATTCTTAACCTTTATTCCTCAATGGAACGTCTTGTATGTGTTCGCTTTCTTAGTACTAAGGTATCTGTTTTCATTATCACTGTTTGATCTGTGGGACAACTCTGTCTGATTATTCCATTTTCCTTAACTAAGCATATCTTTTTGCATCATAATCAGTCTCTCACCTAAGTTATTCAAGAGTGAGGCCATTAATTCATAGAACCGGTCATAACCGTTCTCAACTTCAAATCTAAGTCTACTTTCATTGCTCACCTCATTATTCAGGGCTTCAATGGTATTATTTAGTTATCTTATTTCCTTTTCATATTGTCCCTTCATTTCACTAAGATCTCTTTCGCGATCATGTTTGATATTTGAAAGTTACTTTATTAGTACCTACTCCTTTTCTTTATTCTATTACTCCAATTGTTTCATCTTTTGCTTGAGCAGCTGTACCTCTTGATTTGCTTTATCAGCCTAAGGTGCATTCTTCAACTGTTATTCGAGTAGTTGCTTTTCTTTTTCAAAATACTTTTCCTTCATCTTTTATTCTGCTAATTCAGACTTCGTATTATTAAGTTCGTCCTTTAGTTTTAACATTTCATCTATTAGCTAGTTTTTCTCTTGATAGAGGGTTTTCATTTCCTGAAGAGTTTAGTCTCTTTATTGATATAGCACTTGAATCTAGCTTGAATTAGTCTCAAGTTCTTTCACCTTTTATAGAGCTTGCTGCAGACTCTGAGATATTTTGATCTTTTCATCTTTAAGCAAAGCGAATTCACTTTATTTGGAGGATGCCTGATTTGAGTTCATTCTCTAAGTCTCAAAATCCAAACGCAAATTCTCATTTTCGTCCTCAAGTTTCTTGTAACGTCTTTGCTGCTGTTCCAACTACTATTGCAGCATATTCTTGACTCTCAACTCTTCTTAGAGTTATTGATCAATTTCAAATAGTTTCTGATTGATCTAGGCACCATTGTTGAGTCGAAGCATTTCATTCTCTTATTCTAAACTTTTGAGTCTCAGCTCCAGATCTGAAATCATAGACTATTATAGATTGTCTGAGGTATCATTTAAACTAGAAGAGTTATCTCTAATCTTCTGATCTTCTATCTCATCTTAAAGCTATCTAATCTTATCCAAGTTAATCTCTTCCTTCTTCTTCATGAGTTTAATCTCTTTCTAGAGATCACTTATTTAGTCCTCCCTACTCTGAACATTAATTTCAAATTGTGAGATTCTAGATTTTTCTTTGCTTAGTTCTTCTCTAACAAACTTAAGCTAGTCTTCTAGTTGCTTTTTATTATTCAATTCCTACTCCTGCTAACTAATTGTCAACTCCAGTTCTCTAACTTTCTGATCCTTTTGCTCACATAGCTGCAGTAGTTGATTATAATCCTCTGCTTTCTTCCTATAAATCTGCAACTGCATCTCCATCTTTTGCATTTACAGACCTTTTTCCTTTTCAATATCTAACTCCTCAAGCATCTGTGTTTTTTCCATTTCAAACTCCTTCTTTAAGCGATCGTAGTTTTTTTGATGCTCAAATATCTTTTGATTTTTCATCTCTATTTAAGTCTCAAACTCTCTGATCTTGTCCAGTTTATGCTCCAAGTCTCCATGCTCAAGTTGCAAATCCTCGAGAGTCTTTTGGAGGTTCAGTGTCTTTTTGGTGATAGTTTACTTAACTATCTAAGACTTTAAGGAATCAATTTCTTTTAGAGCTTCTTCATATTGGATCTTAAGACTGGCATTTTCCTGCTCGAAATCATGGAGAGTTTTAAGGCAATTTTTATTCTAGAGTTCTAATCTCTCCACTGTGTGTTGAAGTTCATTCATTGAGATGTTTGAGTTATCAGAGAAATTATGTGATACTTCTTGAATATTTGAGATCGAACTCAATTCCTAAGAAGACTACGGGGCGTATTTCTGAAGCACATATTATACCTACTTCATCAACTCAGATTAGGTGTCCTCATCTAAATTTTGAAGGATATCGTTTATGAGTGACTCCTTGTTTTCACACTGCACTGCTACGCCAAGGACTAGCTGAAGAATCTTGAGAATCTCATGAACCTAACTGAATTTATTTGGATCAGGATTTATCATGTCCTTTCGTTAAATGTTTTCTAGAGCTGGGCATCCGTACTATTGACAATTAAAGTAATAGAAGAATAGAATACTTTTTTGTAGAATTTGGTAAGTCCCTAATTAATTAGAATGAAGTTAGCCTTTGAAAAGCTGCACTCATCATATGAAATTAATTCTCTGGGCCAAATTGATCCATCCCTGTAGACTTTTTTTAATCTGAAAATTTACATTTAACTTAGCACTTCAAGTATGATGATCCCATCCACTAATTCATTAGTATTCATAAACTAGCACTTTTTAGTCAAATGAGGGAAAGAGTTCAGCTATAAATTTATTAGGATGGACGAAAGCATACCCAAATGATAAGTGTCTCAATTTCAGTTTGTATCTGAGATTACTCCATCAATAAAATATAAATCGAAAATTAACAATTATTTAATTAATCATCCATCCCAGAAATATAATTCAGCCGAGGGGTTTTGGGGTTTTGGGG